AAAAAAAAAATGAAAAAGGCCCGGGGGTCTATAATGGGGGAGAGGGGGTGTCTGTCCTCAAGCACCTCTGAGCAAAAAGTGGTCGAAATTATTCCAGTTTATCCTTTAAGCATTTTGGCCTTATAAATTGTAAAACGACAATGCTCCTGCCACGTGACTATTTTTTTTTTCGTAAGAAAGATGGCAGGCGCCGAATTTACAATACATGTGATAATGCTGAAAAAAGTAAGTCAATTGCAGTCGTCATATGGATAATGATGAAAAACTGACATATAACATCTTAGTATCACTGTCCCTTACTGTCTGTTCAAAAATATCTCACTAGATCGTCTAGTAACACAAAAAGAGCATTTCTTTCCATAACAATGTCGAAGTGCAATGTGTATCAATAATTTCAGTAAACTATAAGATAATAAAATATATGAACAATAAAACATTTCTAATAAATTTACAACTGGATAATACTTTACACTACTTTAAATTACTCCACAAGCCTGTAAGTATTATGCAATATTCCAATGTCCACCCCACCCCCACCCCCTTCATATTATATGGTGACTAACGACTATAACATAACAATAATCTGGATTCAACCCCCATGCACAACAAAGTTAAGTACTAAGTCATATAAAATTACAGTTCTTTTTAATTTACTGAAAATTTGGGTAAAATTGATAGGTACATGAACTCCTGTGCTCATATGGAGACGTGCCACCACTTAATTGCCGGTAGAGAGATGCAAATTTTTGTCCTGCAATCGACACTTAGGGCCATTGAGCAGGGACGGATCTTTTTCTTGCCAGCACCTACTGCGACACGGTACCTCGGTTTATGCGGTATCATCCGAAGAACCAGTGTCCACGTCGCACAGTGGGATTCGAACCCGCGACGTAAGGATCAACTTCTTATTCTGCGACTCTAGAGCAGACGCTCTAACCAATGCGCTAAGCGGGCGACGTCAAAGATAGAAGTGGGATTATTTGTCATAAACGTTGATTGTTTCTCCACAAGATCGGGCTGTGGTGAGAAGGATATGCAGATAACGAACAGTATGCAATGTAAAAAAAACAATACAAAATATGAGCAGAGGAAACACGGACCTCCGTGTCATTCGATTGCACTTTAGAGTGCAGTGTGTTTCATAGGAAACGGGCCTTGGGACTTTCGCATGACCATCGGAATTTGGCTAGGTACCGAATAAATAATAACATTCGGAGTTTGGCGAGACCACTGTATCTTGGCGTCATCATCGGACTTGAGGTTTTGCATATGTATATTGACTGTGGAATTTTATAACAGACGTGTCAGTATTTGAAACAACGAAACGGCTCCATCAAACTCGGGGCAGTTGTCTACGAACAAGAGTATGAACAACCCTCTCATCCATTTGCGCAATTCTGACTCAAATGAACTCCAAATTGAGCTTAACATCTAGTATGTGATTAAAATTTAAATTTTGGACAAAAATATAGATCTATGCCCTTTATTTAGAGCATATCCTCAACCAGAAGTCTCTGTCGAGACTGTAGCTCTACTGGTTTGTACTTATAACAAAGGATGAGAAAAGAAGCTATTGCCATCAGACCAAAACTGTTTAAGGAGTAGCATTTTAAAGGGAATTTCACAGACATTTCTATTTTTAGTAACAATGTTCATCAAATCAAAAACCGATGTACTACTTTGTGTATCTTATTGTAGTCTACTTGTGTGCCAAGTAATATTGAAATCAGACCAAAACTGTAGAAGGAGTAGCGTTTTAAAGGAATTTCACAGAAAATTCTATTTTTAGTAACCATGGCAACACTGTTCATCGAAATCAGAAACCGATGCACTATTTTATGTATCTTAGTGTAGTCTACTTGTGTGCGAAGTTATATTGAAATCAGATCAAAACTATAGGAACAGTAACATTCTAAACAAATTTCACAGAAAATTCTATTTCTAGTAACCATGGCAACACTTTTCATCGAAATCAAAAACCGATGCACTATTTAATGTATCCTAGTGTAGTCTACTTGTGTGCAAAGTTATATTGAAATCATATCAAAACTGTAGGAGGAGTAGCATTTTAAAGGAATTTCACAGAAAGTTCTATTTTTAGTAACCATGGCAACACCGTTCATCGAAATCAAAAATTGATGCATTTTTTAATGTATCTTGGTGTAGTCTACTTGTGTGCCAAGTTATATTAAAATCAGACCAAAACTGTAGGAGTAGCGTTTTGAAAAATTGTTTACAGACAGACGGACAGACAGATGGACGGACGACGGACACCTTACTATCGCATAAGCTCTTCTGGTCTCTGACCAGTAGAGCTAAAAATCGAGTTTTTAATCGGATCGGATACTATTTACCATGCATCGGACAGACGGTATTTGGACCGGAAAAACATACATTTATCCCAATGCTTTAAAGTCCTTGATATGGATATATTTTTATCTTTTATCCAAGAAGTAACCCTTATCTTAAATTTAATTGACGATATAGTTGCACAAATGTAGAACGACTCAAGATACCTCTCTGCCTTAAAATTGCTTTAAAATGCTTGTAATGCAGTAATTCGCGCCTTTTTCTCATGGGTTATCATACCCTGGTTGGTAGAAATAAATTGAGTCAGATTCTAGACGTCATGTATCAATAAATTGTATTTTGATTGAAAATAAAGAGTTTTTATTTTCTATTTCCGCCAAAAACAGCTGTCAGTTGGGTTTTGTATGAAAATGGTAGTGCTTACCTTTGCATCGGAAAATGTCCGATACATATGGTTAATTTGTGTCCGATGTACGGAGAAATGAACATACTAGTAAAAACCAGCTCTGAAAAGAATTATACGAACATAAAAGTGAATTTTTAAAAATATTTATGTAAAATTACCAATCTTTGACAAAATTCACCAAAGTCTGATATGTTCCATTGCAGTTGAATTCAAAGACCGATAACTCTAAAAATTGCAAAATCATATATTTCTGGTTATTCCCCTTTGATGATGTAAAATATGACGTAACTTCAAAGCCATTTTCGGTGTATTTTTTTTTTCAAAACATGGTAATAATAATAGGTATCATTAACAAATTTAAATCTTCAGCTTCAAGACAGAAATCAAAGTACTGAAAGTACTGAAAGCCGGGCTTAAGAACAGCACACAGGTGAAAAGAACAGGTTTCAGTTAAAGTATGAATGATATAAGGAATTATTAGATGCAGCGAATGAAAAAGCATCGTTAAATTTTATATAAGAACAATAGGTTTGACTTTGATGAAGTATAAGGGTGATTTTATCTTTTTATTTTTGAGCTTTATATACTTGTTCTTTATTGTTATTGAGCATTTTTTTTCTTGCCTTATGCCATGGCGTCAGGCACTACTTAGGATCAATATTTCCTACGTCCGAAGCTAAGAGGTCACAGTTAGCCAGCAAAATTTTGTGCATGCTGATTATCATCGAATTTTGTTACCTGCGTTTCAACAACAACAGTTAGCAGAAAAATGATCATATTACTGATAGACTGAGGATGTATTTAAACATGCATACAATCGCAATATGTCGTCCCCAACTTCGTTCGGGACGACATAATGACTAGAGAGTCTGCTATTGCAAGCAATAGCGTATGTTTCCCGAGAATTTTCATTTTGTCATCAGTAATACTATGCCCATTTGCTAAGCTTGGACAACCATCAACTCGTATCAGTCCTTTCGGTACTTTGATTTTAAAATCGGAGCTAAGCGCATGTGCATGCATATGCAAGTTATAAATCCCATCCTGTTTGGTTCAAAACTAGAGTAGTTATAGCCATTTAAAGTTATAGCCATTTAAAGTTTTAGGCAATCAGATTGCAGTGCACATGCATGCACATGTTTTCATGATTATTGTTATATATCATATTGTAGTAATGCATGACTTATTTAAAATTTCAATGTATTTCATCAAAAAAGAAATAGATATTAAAATTTTTGTTTCAGCCAATCAGAGCAAAGTGCACGTGCATGCACATCATTTCGTGCTAATCTGACAATGTCATATTATCTACACTATTAATATATCCTTATATAATATCCTTATGAAATGAGCATTTCATCAAAAAAGTGTAAAAGTTAAAGCAATATTCAGTATACGTCATTTAATGTTGCACGCATCCGCACGTAAATGCGTATGCACACAAAATGACCTTTGTTCCATACATCTACACAACATGCCTATTAGCCTTAAAAAGGTTTTAGCTCAATTGGATGGACATTTTTCTAGAACTCAAACTTGGACAACCATCAAACCTATCTGTACTTTCAGTACTTTGATTTAAAAATCGAAGTTCAAGAATTTTGACTTTTCCCCCCTTTCCATGGAAACTAATAAAAGCTTCGAATTTTTAAATCCAATGGGCACAATTAAAGAACCTAATCATTACATCCACAAAATTTCATGACGAATGTGCAAGGGTCTATGCCTACAAGTTTTTGGGATTTTAGTTCATGTAGAATAGTACTTGATGCAACAGATATCACCCAGGATGTTCCAGGGAATGATATGAGATTGCAGGCCAGCACATACAGCGGATACAAAAATTCTCACACTGTTAAAAGTGTTACAGGTGTTGCACCTAATGGTGCTTTGGTATTTATTACTAAATTGCACCCTGGCAGCAAATCTGATGTTGCAATTGTAGAACATTGTAAAGTCTTAGAACAGTTATCTCCAGGTGATATGATCTTAGCAGACAAAGGGTTCACTATTCACAAGTTGCTGCCCCCAAGGAGTACATCTAAATATTCCTCCCTTTCCAGTGAGGTCCAACTATGTCAAAGAATTGCTAAGTCACGCATACATGTTGAAAGAGCAAATGAGCGTATTAAGAATTATGAAATTTCAAGGCATGTTCCGCAGCAATTTAGATATATTTCTACAAAAGTCTTTCAATTATGCTGTGTTTTAGTCAATTTTCAGGATCCCCTTATGCAGGAAATTGCTCAGAATTTTGCAAGTGTAGATAACTAAGATATTAAAATTAAAATGTTTTCACCATGTTTAATGTTATATCTTATAGCTGTTGTAAATACGGGAGAAATTTACAGAAATAAAAGTCTGTCAAAACAGATATGTTGATCTCCCAATTGATGTCTTTGTTAATTCTCACAATCGCACAGTCTTTTGGTGTCCAGACCATAAAATCACACAAGGATTTCCCAATTATATGAAGCTGTCCTTGCACTTGATCATAGTATTGGTGGTTCTCTCATAGCTTGAAGGACTTGACTCCATTAAAATCCTGAACCTCTATATGAAAAAAATATATATGTTGAAGATTTTTAAAGAATAAGAATTTTCATTGGTGCCTCAATCATTAATATAAGACAAAACTATTTAACTAATAAATATTTACATGTATAAGTATTTTGTTCCTTACTGTACAATAAAGTGAGAAGGCAAATCATCTGCCTTGAGGACTAACATTACAACAGAAGGAAAAAACTTTTTTAACAATTGCTAAATTGTACTTAAATTTATCCAAACTAATATATTGGAATTATTTAAAGTAATATCTCAGTACATGAAACGTATTCAAACAAATACATACACACTATTACCGGTATTACCTAGGCAGACATCGTGTACTTTTTCAATAGCTTCTGGAATTGTCATATTCTTTGCTGAAAAGGGGCATTTCACCTCCAGTATTTCTGGCTTAACGTTTGACATCTCTAATATGTCAGCGAGTCCTGGATTCTGATAGCTGAATCCGAATGCAGCAGGACAACGAATGAGTCCATCGGGGCTTGACCCAAGAACCCCATTACAGTGTAGCCAGATACCTAATATGAACAGTATTATAAAGTTTCAAAATAGCATTAATATGCAACACTCTGATTTTCTTATGCATTGATGACTTGTTATAAATAGAATATACAAACAGTATATTTATATTCATTATCTTCAACTTCAGTTTAATAACTGAATTTTAAATAAATTAGCTCAAGAAAAATTTTTATTTATCATCAATTTTTATTTGCTTTAAAGAAATTGAAATTTTGCTTAGGAAAGAAATGTACCAACCTGTTGGCTCTACAACTGCATCCCCAAAAGTTCTATACTTTTCAATTGCGACTTTTTCATTGCACGTCCCCCAAATAATGGCATCCTTCTTTGACAGATCATAAGCTGAGCATAATCTTTTGTATAAGGAGACAGGATATCTGTTATATAAGGAGCAAACTTTCAATATTTTTGATTTTATAATTAACTGCTTTTACAAGTATCATTTATAATTACATATACATATAAAGGCATGTAAACTACCAGTATACCTATTTCTCTTGATCGCTGCCAAAACACAACCAAAGTTTGAAGCTGTTGATCTATTCTTCCTAACAGATGACCACATGCAATTTTCCTTTTGACCAGTGGTAAGACAGGCAATCTAAAACATGACAAAAATCTTAAAACTTAAACAACATTCATAATGAAACAGAATACATTCTATTCATTATGCAACTCATTTGTCTTTACCTGTTGGATTTCTTGCTCATTTATCATTAATTTTTGCTTCATCCAAGCGATTGGATTCTCTGCAGAAATAAATTCCTGGCTAGAGATGAGGTCTTCAACTAGAGGCACTGCAAGTGTGGGCACAGGCGGCTCGGGGGATAGTATCCAATGCATTGCTGTTGATTTAATTAAACAAAAAAATTAAACCCTCAGTGAAAAAGACAACAAATACTCAATAAACCTGTATTGCAGTTACATCACCAATTCTTAATACTGGTATATATGTTAAATATTTTTTCAAACTTATTCTATTTACTACTTCAAATAAATTTTGGATTTCAATATGTATACATGTGAAAAGAATGTACAAATAACTTCCTTTAAGTATGTATGAGAAATAGGGTGAATAATATTTAAACATTTTACTAAAGGTTGCAGTTGAGTTGAAGTTTTATATTACGTCACGATCTTCTAGTTTGACAGATGCGTTCAAGATAAATAGTATACGCCTCCTAACCGCAAGCTTTACGACTGGAACTTTCTTCTAATCCCTGATTGTTTGCTTGTACAACAAACTATTTCTGTGTCAAGGTTGATAATATGAGTTTATCAATCACATGAATTGTTTACGCTGAATGCATCTGTCAAAAAAGATTGTGACTTGATGCAAAACTTCACACTGAATTGAAATTGATAGTATAAATGTATAATTAAAAGTTTAAAACAAAGTCAACACAAAAACAAAAGAGACAAGAACAAAACTAAACATGTAAAAGACAAAAAAAGCAAAAAGAATGGAAAGACTGCACATCTTGTCAGAATTTCAGTCCAATGTCAAATAAGCCATTAAATATCTGAAGTCCAAAGTCCGGGTGTAATGAAATAGTTAGGTGTTTTGTGAATTTATATATATATATATATACATGTGTGTATATGCATTCTATCCTATCACAGTATAAATTTTCAAAAAAGTAACAATAGAATAAACTGGTAAACAATGTGACACTAAAATAAAACACCAGATATATTAACCTGAAAATCTCCCTACAGTTGTCAATTTCTGATATAGGAACTCCCTGTCCCTATCATTGACTGGCCTATTTGTTGCCCTAGTAATTTTTGACAAAAGTTGAAAAATGGAGCATAATACAACACTGAATGGTTTTACATATACCATGCTAGCTGCAGATCTGTAGCTTGCTGGTCTGAAAAAATTAGGATGGACGACCAGAGAGATACAGTTCCATCCATTGAAAAAAGTGTATATTGCCCATAAAAAATATGCTATTTCTCTATTTTTTATATTTTCACTTTTGGGGTACTGTCATTTTTTAATATTTTGCACCATTCATGAAACAGTCATAATAAATGCATACCTGTAATTTATAAACCTGTCATGTGCAGGAAAAAGTTCTTCCATCGTCTTAGTTTGACGAGGTGGCGCACTCTGGATGCTTAATCCAACTCTGGTGTACATCAGTTTTGCTGACATTTTTGTACCTGTATCAACATGTTCCATAAATTTACTAAGTTATATTATAGTCTTGGGGCCTAAAGTTAGATTTTATAGTTACAAGTATGCTTATATATGCCAAGGTAGTGGACTTGGAGGTTCCAGGGCACGAATAGTACCCTGCTACCTACAGTCACATGGTGAACTGCACACTTGTATATACCGGGTATATATATTGGTGTGCATGTTTTGATATAATTTCTATTTAACATTAAATTTGGTAAAGCATACCTAAAACAGACCAAGTGAATTTACATATTACATAAATTGCATATAAATTACCCATAGAGAAGAATGCTGGCTTTATGGTGACATTTGTCCATCCCATGTACACATTCACAGGTACTCTGTTCAACTGTGTAGTTAGAACCAAGAGTAATCTAATAAAATAAAAAAAAAATAACCACCTAGAATTTTACTTATATTATCTGATACTATCAATTTTAAAAGTAAAAAGCATGTTTACATGGAAACTTGAAAATTGTGGAGAGAGAAAAAAAAAAGAATTGTAAATTAATTTATTACTATGTATTAAGACATTGCATAGACACTTTCAGTCAAGGAAATTCGGAAAGAGGTTTGTTCTGGATTTATTGCATAGGCAGGATAAAACATATAACGTGCGAGTACATCCATTATTGCCGAGTACCCATTATTGACGATTTTCGTTTTTACGTTTAAAAATCTGTCAAACGGTATTTATTTGGAAATTTTTTGCAAAATACATAAATTACACAATTTTTCCAAACCCCAAATCGTCTCGGAGAAAGAAAAAGTTGTTTAGAATTAATAAACTCACCATTGATATATCAAGTCTTTGAAAACGCACAAAAAAGCAGTCGTGCGACAGGACATGCCATAGAATTTTCGGCTAGCTTTCCATTTTCCTGACAGAATCAGTCATGTTTTGGTGCAAATCAAATGAATATTCTCCTGCATGCAATGATACTAAACGAAATTATCCATGGTAATTTTTCTACTTGCATTATTTAACGAAAATTACGACGAGTATGAAGCGTCTGCTGTACGACGCCATTTTTGTTTTATACGGGAGCGGATCACCAAATCCACCACATGCACCTGTTCTTAATAAATCTGCAATAGGTTATTTTTATCGATTTATTTTTGCTCATATCGCTTCAAAATTATATGGACAACTTTTTAAAATAGTATAACAAGGTGAAAGTGTCTTATTTAATTTTTTTTAAATTAAAATATATATAAATGGGAAAATAAATGGGAAAATGAGGAAAAAATTCACAAGTTCTGGATGACATGAGAGTACAAAGACATATCCTGGATTCATCCTTGGAGAAACAATATACTCAATAACTTGCTCCACATTTTTTTTTCTTCAAGAGATAAAAAAAATAAATATTATGAAAAATGGAGTTCTATTGAAGATGGGGATGCAAGCTACTTTTCTTCAAAAACCCCTTTTACAACTCCCAAGTCATTTTATGGCTATAAAAAATGGAAACTAAAACCCATACAGGGGCTGGAGGGTCTAAATTCATACTTTATAATTGAACAAAATAGAGAAAAGTTACTTCCATTTACAGTTACAACATTTCTTTACATACTCCTATATATTTATAATTCTTCACATAAAACTGTAAAGCTTTGATTAAGCAGCCATAGGCAGAGGTCTGTATGACATTCATTCAACTCCTTAAAATTTCTTCAGATACTGTAGTCAACCATTTATTTGGTCATTGGCAAGGCAAAGACTTAAAAAAAAAACTTTTCTTTAATTCTTCCAAAAATCTCAAAGAAATGGGATGAACTTACAGTAACCTGTAGCTCCGGTCTCGCATGGAGGCTTGCACAATTCCCCTTATAAACTGCGCATCTTTGTCATTCACAAACTTTAAAACGTGGTCAGATTGTACGGCAGTCTCCGATTTCCGCATAAGTTTCGTTGTACCAGCTGTATAATTTGACCATGGAGAACGCCATACCGCAATCGCGTATACCTAATACCTTGTGTAATATGGCGTCTTCTTTGTTTATCTCCAGAAACGAAATCTGGCGATGTCTAGGGGGCACTGTGTAGGCCTAACACCTGCATCATTAGGGACTCCTCGGCTGATTAGGTTTGCCGAATGAGTGGAAAATTTAGCCTGGTACCCTGTCTCACCATTGCCGAGGCAGTGACGCAGACGTGACGCAGAGTAAACGAAGCAAAACAGGGACAGGGAACCAGGCTATGCGTAGGAATTTGTTAAAAGTTCTCTACTAAGAACAAATGTATTTTTGATAACTGCACAATAATAATTACAGTACAGTTTATATTCACATTTAACTAATCAGATTATGAGTATAAATTGTTTCAACAGCGATTACAAGTAGATACACTATATTTCAGAACGTCAGTTTAATTTGGCGACTATTGGGTCAACATCCTGCCTTGAACAGGAAGTTGAACAGGATCCCATAAGCCGGCTATTGCTCTTTGAGCAATAAGCCCGGCTAAAAACACGGAACTATTAAGTTGAAAGAGAGTTTATTGTCTAAAGTTGTCCGAAGCATGGTGAATTCACCCTATTGAAATTAAGAACAACGCGTCGACCGCGTGGCACAGTGGTTAGAGCGTCTGTTCTAGAGTCAGGAATTGATCCTTACGTCGCGGGTCCGAATCCCAATATGTTACTTTGAGACTGTGTAAAACTAGGTCCCGTATAACAGTAGGTGCTGGCACGAAAAATATCCTTCACTGTTCAAGGACTCCGCCAGTGCCGAGTATAGGACAAAATATGCAGCTCTCCACCAGTAAGTTTGAGTGAAGAGGTATATTGACGTTACAACAACATACAAACCAGCACAAAACCCCATCTTTCTAGGATCGACCGCAACACAGAAGTGACCTCAATCTTGGTAGTATAACTGCTCAAATCATGTGCACGTGACTGTCGCATCACATGACGATTGTAATCAGAATATCCAATCGTCCTCAAAATGATAACAACCATGAAATTTTACATTTGTCAGGTTTTGAAAGTACTTAAAAGAAACGTCATCGTGATTAAGAATGTATTGTTTAATCACAATATCCATTTGGCACATTCAGAAATGAATTCGGGAAAGTTGATTGATACTGGTGCATAGTATAAAATAAGACGGCCAATACATTATTGCAATGTGTTTAAACACATAAACATTATGCAAATATTAATTTTTTCATATGGGTTTTAAAAAGTTTAATATTGCATTCAACAATGTTGATAAATTTAAAAAAAATCATTTGTTTCACGAAAAATAAACTTCTCTAGTTGCCCATGGCTCCTCCCTAAGGGGCCCTCCCAAAATAATTTTGTTGGTTATGTCATTGCTATGTGAACACTGTATACAAAGCTATCCATTATTCTTACGAGTTTATACAATTATAACTTTTTGATGAGGTCAATCCCTAGAGATGTAGACCTTAGAGAAAGCTTACTGACCGAACACGAAGTGCGAGGTCGATATGCTTTCTCTGAGGTCTATATCTCTAAGGATTGTACAGAAACAAAAGACTACAATTGTTTTATTTATTTATTTATTTATATCAGTTAATAAGAAATGTCTTAAAACCATGTTTCAAATAACTCAGTACCTTCTCAGATAAGGCATTGTTATTTCATTTGCATTATGACGTCACAGTAATAAATAGCGGTATTATATTAATAGTTCAAAGTCAATAGCAAGTCTTTTTAAATACTGGTACTAAAAGGTTGTTCTAAATTCATAAGTATCATCCACATTTTCATACAAATTACTATACTTTTTCTGAAATAAAATCCTGAAATCAGATACATTGCTGGCCAAGTGCATCCATATGTACATTGTAGTTTCAGTAGATTTTTTGTCCCCCGCTTTCGCGAAAGCGAGGGGACATTAAATCTCATTCGTCTCTCCGTCTGTCCGTCAGTCTGTCCGTTCGTCACGAAAACTTTAACCTTGCCCATAACTTTTGATGAAGTGGAGCTATGACTTTAATATTTCACATGTGTATTCTTTGTGACAAGACCTTTCTTTGGGTACCACCAAATTTTACCTTGACCTTGGAGTTTGACCCACTTTTACACAAAAATTCCCAACTTTTACTTTGGCCATAACTTTTGAATGGTAGACACTAGGACTTTTATATTTCACTTATGTATTCCTTGTGACAAAGCCTTTCATTGGATACCAACAACCTTGATCTATTGACCTTGACGATTTCTGTACTTGTGAAAAACCTTTGGCTATAATTTTTAAATGGTAAGGGATAGGGCTTTCATACTTCACATACGTAATCCTTGTGAGAAGACCCTTCATTGGATACAAAGAACTTTGACCTTGACCTTGGAGTTTAACTTATTTTTAAAAAGCAAACCTTGACCATAACTTTTAAAGGGTTAGGGCTAAGGCTTTCATGTTTCACATATTTAATCCATGTGACAGGATCTTTCATTGGATTTCAAGAATGACCTTGACCTTGGAGTTTGACCCACTCTTAATAAAAAAAATCTTTGGGTAATAATATATTTATTTTGCATTTCAGAAAAGTTTAATCTTCGCTATGTTGCCATTAGGGGCCCTCAGTGTTTCACAAACACATCTTGTTCCTTATATTGAGAAGAGATATGGCTTTCATATGGCTTGACATGTGCATTACCTGTGACAAAATATTTCCAAGCACGCTTTGATTTGTGATCTATTGACCTTGACCTTCAGATTGAATTTTAAATTTCTAAATGACATATATGATAGGGCGTTCATATTTGAGACAATATGTCATAAAAAATGTTATCTCATCCACAAAGACACCGAAAGCGGGGGACCACAATACTTTGAATTTTTGTGTATTGATATCGGGTAATACAGTCTTATAATGAGGTTTTCCTAGTTGCACATGACATTAATGCAAAAGTTCAATCCAGCAGTATCGGTTTTTAGAATTTCCAGTTTATAAAGACTATTGTGACGTTGGCACTGTTGTTGCTTTACAGAAGAACGTTTCCAATTTTAGAAACAGCAGGTTTATAAATTTTAAAATAGAAACATCCAGTCTATTACACTTTTTATACTTGATCATGTGATCCAGCGTGAGCCAATCAGATAGGTGGCAGCAATAGAGAAAAATAATTATATAAATTATAATTGTTTTATTGACTAGCTAAATTCATTTGAAAGGAAGCAAGATATCCCCGGCAATAGTTGACCTAAAATGTACCTGTCAAAGAGAATCTTTGCAACTTCTGTATTATTATTGAGACGGATCGGTCTTCAGCTTCGTCCATCGATCTTATTGATCACCGATATAAATTATGTTTTTGTTTTGTCTAGAGTTTGCTTCTTCTTTTTTGTGTTTTCTGGCCGATTGTCAATTTACCTTCGGGCATGGTTTCGATTTTGTTGATGCCGACATCTTTCCCAGTATCATGCACTAATAGTGACTATACGCATAGGTATTTTTTTTCCAAATGAGTTCACATCCGAGGTCATATGCTATCATTTTTGTGACGGATCACGATCCATGCGTTTTGATTTATCACCTACTTAGGGTCATCATCATTTAAATTTCTTATATGAAATAAAGATTGAAAACCACCAAAATACGGCATGATACAATGGTGTCAGAAGTGGAATACTTTGGATCAAGTGGATGCTGATGGTGTTGTGTAATTGAAGACCAGTGGAGGCGAATCTTTTTGAGAATATTAGACAATGTGAATCTTTGTTTTGTTTCTTTGATTGAGTTTATGTACCCTAAAACCTTGATAATAAGATGGATTTAATAATAAGCCACCTATTTCTTGCATTGAAAATTATTCGAAAATAAGCCTGTTTTGAAAATAAGCCAGTCACGGCAATGTTTAGGAAAGAAGTTAAACTAAAATGTGTTTCTTTTTTAAAGCCTAACTCTTAGCTTATATTCTCTTTTTTAACTTTTTTCTTGGAGTAGAAGTACGTCTTGCAGTCGTTATTGCTGAAAACTCACTGTTTTAAAAAGGGAATTAAAGACACTGGAGCATTTAACTCTTGCAGAAGTTTACCTGGATCTTTTATTTTTAGAAACTGTGCAACAGGTTATTTTCAAAATATCAATTACAAGTTATTGTATTGATGATAAGCTGTGATAATGCTCTCGTCGCTTACCAGTTTTTTTGTACTGATAATAAGTCGCGTTTTGAAAATAAGACGGTTTTGAAAATAAGCCCCCATTTTCTTAACAAAACTTAAGATAAGCCGCGGCTTTTTTTTCAAGGTTTTAGGATATTACCATTTCTAATGTCCAAACCTAAGATTTCGAAGTCGATTCAACAACTTAATCCTGAAGTAAATGGTAAACGTAAGATTGCAACACCAGTTTTATTGTCAGACAGTAAAGGTTTATACTTAAAGAGGGAAATTACCACAGATTTGGAAAAAGAAATTCTATTCTGGTGTAAAAGTGGAGAACGAACAAGCGATGCAACTGACTGGTTAAAAAGAAATATTAATTCAAAAATAAGATATTATGTATACATCTGTATGTATGGTTAGGAACTTTTGATTTGGCCATTAAGTCTGCAAAATTCACATCCATTAGAACTTTTGAAGGATGACGGTGTTGAATACTGAAAGAGAAAATTTGTAGACTGAAGTAATTAATTTTATAAAGAAGCTCAAAGAAATTCTGGAAGTTCTAGTTTATTCTATTTCAAAGTGGAACAAAGCAAAGAAACACAAAGACCCGTCCAAATTTAAAGAAGACGATAAACTGTGGAGACACAGACTGAAAAACTGAACCAAATTATCCGTGAGTTGAATAAAAATGCTCGATCCTCAAAGTTCTCGCTCGATCTCTTGAGAAAAAGAAAGGTGAAGAAGGGCAAGAAGAGTGTACGAACTACATGTATATAACGATGGTATACATCCTTGTTCGTCGTTCGCAAAACTGTGGTAAAAACCAGAAGTCTCTGTCGAGACTGAAGCTCTACTGGTTTGTACTTATAGCAAAGGAAGAGAAAAGTACTTAGGCAGTTGGAAATTGAAACTTTTCAACAGCAATAAATAGAATAATGATTCTTGATTAAGTCTCTTTATGTTCTTAGTGTAGTCTACTTGCATGCCACATTATATTATAATCAGACTAAAACTGTATTTGGAGTAGCATTTTGAGAGTATTTAACAGAAATTTCTATTTTT